GGTCAACCTCACAGCAGAAGAGGCAGATCTTCAACATGTTTTGAGGAGTGTTGTCGTTAAATGTTTGGCTACATTCTCTGGTTTCATCGGTGTTTTGACGCTGTTGGTGTTTTGTGGGGCTTTTTCCTTTGCGTTGTTGCATATGGTGGCACGCTTTCTTGGGTTGACCAGAGTTAATGGCATTGGCTTGCCAGCTTCTGACAATGCGTGATTTTCCAGGGTTTGTGGTGCGAGGTCCTTGCCTTGGTAGTCCTTCATCTGGCTTGGTGGTCGTCGCACCTAGTTTGATGGCTACGGTGGTTGTCCTTATAGTGGTTTTACCCTTTGTAAGTTTAAGTTTCGTTTAATTCGTTAATTTGAATTTTTAATTTGAGTTAAAATGTGATTTTTATTAGATTTCGCTCTATTTGTAAGTTAGAACAACAACTAATGGGCTTTAAGCCCAAATGCCAACAAAATAAATAAAAGGCATGTTGCTCACGTGAACAGTAAACCATTAAAATAGAAAAGAAAAGAAGAAGGAGAATCGACAGTAGTGGATAGCTGAGAAAACCAGAGAAAGAGGAGGGAAGAAAAGGAGAGAGAGAAAGAGAAAAGTGGTAGGATTTTAGTGCTTGTGCAAGACGATCGGGTGGCGAAACATTGTCGGTTTCGGCTCAAATTTAACGTGAAAAATCCTTGTGGCGAGCTCTTCTCATCTACCGGACTTGATTTCTCATTTAGCCTCTCTTTAGTACTCTCTTGAGTACTCCTAATTTGGTAAGACCTAAGCTTTTCTTTGGTGTTATTGTTATTATCCATCTTTGATGATGATGTCTATATTGTTGGTGTGACCTAAAGGTCTCATGATTTTTACTCTCAATTTGAGAGGTTTTCTACGCTAAAAATCGGTATTTTATTTGTGGTTGATTATTTTGATTAATTGGTGCATTGGTCGTTTGGCTTTGTTGGTATTTTACTTGAGATTCTATTTTACCATACAAAGAAGAAAAGTTTTATTCCGTAATGATTAGTATTAGTTTTTCTATTAATTTTATGTGAGAGTTTTTTACTGTAGTAAAAAAATTAAATGTGACTATTTCTGAGAGTTTTTTACTATAACAAAACTCAAATTGGTGAAATGAATAAGACCTTAATTTTTTTTTTTTTTTTTTGCGCTATAGTATCTCGGCCTTTATTGATTATATGCTTCCTTCAATTTTTGGGGTATTGTCAAAGAGCATGACATGTGTTCGTTTCTTGTCATTCAGAGTTGCTTCCCACTTTTCGTGTCTCTCGCACATGCATCCATTGAGTCTAATCAAATTGTTGCAGTAGATATGGTCTTCTATGAGGGTTATATCTTATATTATAGGATTATTAACATATATTTCTGTACTGGTTTGAATGAAATCTCCCTCCAAATAAACAAATAAATAAATAAATAAAAACATTTAAGGTCGAGAAAGGTTGTAGTTGGGAGGAAATTTTTGTAATGAATGTTTTATTAAAAAAAAAAATACTGAACTTATTTTTAAAAGTGTATGGATTAAAGTTTTAACTTTTTATTTTTTATTAATACTTTTTTAATTAATATAATATTTGATTAAAATGGTTAAAGTCAACACCATACGATACGAGGGGGCATTTGTGTCGTTTTCCTTTTATTAGACAAAAGGTGGGTTTAGTATTGCTTTTAGGAGAGAAAAAACACTTATACGGAAATTTAAAATCTAAAATCTTGTTTGGTAAAACATATTTTTAAAGAATTTTTCTCAAATTTGAAGCTAAAAGCAGACTCAGCCTTTAGGCTGATTCTAATTTCAACTTATGCGGGAATCTATTTTAAGTGTTTAATGAAATTTTTTATTTCTAATTTTACCCCCACTGAAATCTGAAATTTACAACCCATTTTCATTTCAGAAGAATCCACTCTCCACTCTCTCTTCCACTCGTATCTCTCATCCCCTCCTCTGCGAAAATTTTTTCTGTGTTCCTCTCCTCTCCTCGCCGTTCGAAGCAAGGTTCCCCGGCTCCGTTCACCGGCCTCTCTCTCCGTTCGCCGGTTGATTTCTCCGTTGGCGGTTCGGAGCTCGTTTGGTTTCTCCTCCGCCCGATTGATCTCTCCGTTGCCAGTCTCCCTTCTCCTCATCCGACTGCCCGTCTCTCGTCATCATATCAAGAGGTAAACCTTTCTAACCGTGCGATTTTTAGTTTAAACATTTGGATTTTTGGGTCTGATTTTTAGTTTGAATATTTTGGGTTTTAGGTTTCTGATTTTTGCAGAAAAACGGTTGAGCATTGTTGAGGGTTCGGTTTGCCGGTATCCCATCTCCTCCTCCGACTGCCCATCATCAGTTCAAGAGGTAAGCCTCTGTTTGTTTGTGGGTTTTAGGTTTCTGATTATGGGTTTTCTGTTTTTCGTTGTTTTCGTCATCTTCTTTTGGCTTGTTTTACTGATTGTTTGTGGGTTTTAAGTGTTTTTTTTTTTTTATCTTTAAAGCATCTTTCCAATGCTTTCGTGTTGATGATTTGATCTCCTTTTATGGTTTGGATTTATGATTATTTGTTTATGGTTTGAAACTTTGATCTGTGTTTAGAGTCTTTGGACTGAAGGTTTAATCCGTGTTTAGGAAGGTTTAATCTTTTCGTGTGTGTTTTGCATAGTTTCAGAAGGTTTAATCTGTGATTGCTATATGTAAATGTAAAAGTTTTGCCAACAAGCTTAAATAAAGGCCCCACGAGCAATACGGCAGAACTTGCAATACGACAGTTTGATGGAAATAGACTTGGACCTGCGAATTGCAGTTCACTATGGCATCCCGTCTACATCTTCTATTCTCGCATTCGACCCCATTCAACGCCATTTAGCCATTGGGACTCTGTGAGTTAATAAGCGCCTTTTCTTTTTTTATTCTTTTACCTTGTTTGTTTTGGATTACGATCGAAGTGTGAGTTGCTAGCTAGGAACTAGGATTGCCATGTGGCTCATTTTCAAAAACTATTTGGCAAAGAAAAAATTAAAGAGAAACCAAAAACAAAGAAAACGGCTGAATGAAACTGCTTCTTAGGAGAGTGTTTGTTGTGCATTTCATTTCTGTGGTACCAACACATGGTGTTCACTTGAATGAATCCATAGTTTTCATGCTTCTTTCTCTGGAAAGTTTGGCTTCCTGCGTCTCTATCTTATGTGCTTCACCCCAACTAAGATGAATTTGTATTCTGGAGATGCATGGACTTCAGTGATAACTTTCATTTGAGGATCATATTTTGGGGAGAGAGAAATCATGGGCTTTACACAAAATTTAGGAAATTCCTCTCCACCTTTGAACTAGATTGATTGGTGGGAAATAAGATGCCTTGGGAGTCTAGGTCCTTTGTGCAATAATAAATGAATAAAAGAGTAACAAGATATATATCTTGAGATGTCACGTTGGCATAGCCGGGGAACCACATTGTCACTATAGTACTCTATTTTTTATTTTATTTATATATATATATATATATAAATATATTTTTGGGCAGGGATGGAAGGATTAAAGTGATTGGTGGTGATGGTATAGAAGGACTTCTTATATCCCCAAAGCAATTGCCCTTCAAATACATTGAGGTATACATGAAGTATGAATTACTGAAAACATTAGGATACAGTGCTGATTTTAATGCTTGTAGCATATTTAGCTAACAAAATGACAACCCAAGACATCCCAAACCGTGTATCTTTTATGTTTATGTGTATATATATCTTCATTTTCCTTTCTCATTGTTTTCCTTATTCCTTGAGCGGCAGAGATAATAAGTGTTGTTTTGGCAGTTTCTGCAAAACCAGGGTTACTTGGTTAGCATCTTAAATGACAATGACATTCAGATGTCTTGTTTGTTGTTTACAATGGGAAACCAATATAACTGCTTTTGTTGCAATCCATGGCTCCAACTTCATGTACATTACTCACTGAAAGAAGTTAATGTTACTCTTATTTTCATCAGCTGATGATTGGCTAACAAGTTGAAGAGTATTGGACAATCAATTCATAACAAGTTTGCTGTATTGCAATTTGCAGGTATGTCGGTGATGAATATGGTTTGATGTCTGTGCTGAAGTTCAATGCCGAAGAAAGAGCAGTTTTGCAGTTATATTTCTGAACAAAGCATATATGATGCTGCAGATTTATCTCTCGGCAAGATCTAATAGACTGGAGAAGATGAATGAAGAGAAAATCTATGGTCTTGAGGTGCAGAAAATGTATCTTAAGGAACCTGAGTTGAAGCTCAATTGGTTTAAATTTAAACATGAGCTAGGATCCTCCACTTAGATTTCCATTCCTCATTTCTTTTTATTGCAGTTTTCTTGTTGTATTGATGGTTGAGACATTGTTATTCTCTTTTAGTATGGTCTTCTTGTATACATGTTGGAGACATTGTTGTTTTCTTTCGGTGTGGTTTTTTTGCTTTATGTTTAAGACATTGTTGTATAATGACATTTCGTATTACTACTTGTATGTGAGTCTGATTGTTTTTATTGCACCATATTGAATGACATATTTATTGTTATTGCACTATATTGAATGACATGTAATGAACACGACTTAATTCTTTTAATGACTGTCAGTTTTTGAACATGGAATGTACTTTTTTGTTCAACAAATTGATTACTTACTAATGCTCATTTTAGTTGTAACTATATTGTGAATGAAAAATGAAAAAAAGAACTAATTATTATAAATTTATTGTTAAAAAACTCAAAATCAGAGCATTATATTTTTTTAAGTTAAATAAGTATTTTTAAATATAAAAAATAATTATATATATTTAAATTTCATACCATGTCTATTTTGGTCATTTTACATACTCACAGTAATTCAACATTAAAATTTATCAAATGTTATTACACTGATTTTAGAACCAGCACAGTTACTATAATTACAGTTTATCAAACACTTCTAATTTTTATAACAGCTGCTTTTTCTTTTAACACAACTAAAAATAAATTTTTTAGAATCCACGGCACTACCAAACTAAGCCAAATTTCAATCCCAGCAACAGAGAACACGCCTTTTTTTTTTCAGTAGGGTTTAAACTTGAAACCTAAAACCCTAAATCCCCAAATAAAATAAAATAAAATCTCAGAAATGGCGACCTCCATGGCTGCTCTGTCCCGAAGGCTCTCTCGAGCTCTTATCTCAAACTCTAAACCTAAACCCACTCATCTCAATCCTCTCGTCTCCGCTCCGTTTTCCACCACAACCACCATCGACGACTCCGACCTGGAAGGCCCCGACTCCTTCCTATCCGACTCCGAATCCGTCTCTTCTCAGTCTTCTCCGTCCAACAAATCCAATCAGAAACGCGCTTTCCAGGACCCGGTGCTCGAGAACGGCGTCGACGCGGGCGTTTACAAGGTACATTTCGATTTTCGCCTGAGAAATTAGGAGTTTTTTTGGGCGTTGATTGTTTCTTGTGATTGATTTTAGGCGGTAATTGTGGGGCGAGTAGGGCAGAAGCCGGTGCAGAAGCAGCTGAAGAATGGGCTGACGCTGACGATGCTTTCGGTCGGGACCGGAGGGATTCGAAACAACCGGAGGCCGCTGGAGAACGAGAGCCCCCGTGAGTACGCCGAGCGCAGCGCTATTCAGTGGCATCGGGTATGCGTTTATCCCGAGCGGCTCGGCGCAATCGTCATGAAGAATGCTGTTCCTGGGTGAGAATTTTTGGTGTTCCTTTCATCTTTCTTTATCAGCAATAAAAAAAATAAAAATAAAAATAAAACACACACACACACACATTTTTATGTCCTGAACTGAAGTACTTGAATTACTAGAATTACTAGTTTTTTGCTTTTTAATGCTTTGCAATCCTGTTTTTCGGTTTTCAGCAAGAAAACGTAATGTTGCTTTGTTAACTAATGTTTGAATTACTAGAATTACTCCTAAATGCTTGTTTGAAGTTTGAACTTTGTTAACTAATGTCGATGTATTTGATACTTCTGTCCGAGGTTTGTGGGATCCGAATTTGGAAATGAAAGGAGCACCATGGAATTGTTTGGTTGGAAGTTTTGATAAAACTCTGTAGTTTCTAAAAGCAAAAACTAGTCTTTACAGTTGTTCGTTGTCCCTCAAGTTGGAAGAGGTTCTCTAGGAGAACTGAATGCAGATAGATGATTTTGGAATTATAGGGTTCTTTTCTACACTAAGTATATGGGAAATTAATAAATTATGCTGGGGACCTGGAGACCATACCGGTTTCTGTGCAGATATAGGTGTGGCTGTTAATCTGGAAGCTTCGTGGTTAGGAAAATGCTAGTTCTGATTGTTGATCGAATATGGTTTCCCAACTAGAATCCAATGGTTAGGAGATTGGTGGGTCTTGGGGAAAACTTTTTCTTCAAGAATCATTCAAACAGAACTATGCAAATTCATTATATAAGCAGGGCAACATCACTAGTCATGGGTTGGGGCTGCTTTGCAAGGTAAGGACGGTAAAATGTTTGGAGAAGTTGAATCTTAATCAATAACTTTGTGTTTATGAGTAAAATCAGGCTTGTTTTCCAGATTTTATTGCAACTGCACATGTTCGAAACGGTTGCCTTGTGCAGATTTTCTATTTTTGTTTTCGTCTGTTATGGTTTTGATAATCGTTCACCCATCCATGTAAACTTTGGCCCTGTTCATTTCGCTTATTCGAATTATAACTCAAGCTTTTGCTACAGTATTTTCTCTTACAAAAATTCAAATTCAACATTTTCTACTAGAATATTTTTTCTCACATGAATTCACTTTTTAACTCAAGTTCTCAACTCGAACGAGCGAAACGAATGGGTCCTTAAGCTCTTATTTTTCTTTCCCAGTGTTATTGCATACATTAACTATGGTGTGGTATTGAAAATATCTTCCGACACTTCTTACTTTGCAGTTCAATCTTATATCTAGATGGTAATTTGGAGACAAAAATCTTTACTGATCCTATAAGTGGAATTGTTCGTCGAATAAGAGAGATTTCGATTCGCCAAAATGGTATGTCTCTTTTCCCTCAACTCTTTGCATAGAGTTTCAAAATCACAATGTTTGAAGTTATTTTAATTCATAGAAGCCCTTTTTTCTTGCTTGTTTATTTTTCCTTTCAACATTTCTTTGGAGGTTTCGCTGTCAATATTACTTTTATGTAGATGCCGGTGTCTATCTTAACTAATTAAATTATAAGTCAAAACTTATTCCATTGTGGGGAAGATACTTGCAGATGAATAATGCAATTTTGAGTCAGACTGATGAAAAAGTTTTGCAAATGACATGGTTTAAAACCCCGAGAAATCCATTAAGAACATATTATAATTTAATTTTACAAACTAACGAGCGAATTTTTTTAGACTTCAATAACCTCGACTTTATGAAACATGCCTCATGGTTGTTGATATTCTCTTCTTTAAATTTGCTTTTATTGCTGGTATGAATTTCGGAGACGGAACTCTATGTGATAGAAGTTTGTAATTCTCTGTGGGGATGAGTTAAAAACCATAGGTATGAAAATTTTCTCTTGTTGAACTTTGCAGGTCGTGTTGTATTTTTGGGTGAAGCTCAAGCTGGTGATGGTCGGGTGCCAACACAAGCGGAATTACGTGGTCTTGTTTATTAAGATTTCTTTTACCAGAAAATTCAAATTTTTAGTTGTGCGGTCAATTTTCTGATTTTGTATAAAACATTGGAATGGAGGTGGAGGAAGCCTGTATGTCATGTATGTAGGGCTGTTCATAAACCCGCAAAATGCAATTTCTAGTATTAAAGCAGATGAATTGAACATTGTCGTACTGCCCATGTGACCTGTTATTTGTGGCGAAAGCCGGGATTTGGGTAGTTGCCTTTTAAAGTAGATGAATTAAACATTCTCATAGAAACACATTTCGAAATATTTGTTCCTTGCGCCCTTTTTTCTCCTAGGAAATTCGTTGCATCTTATAATGGCATAGTAGAAACGAAAGTACAGGAACTTTCATGAAAATGATCGTAACATTTCCCATTTATGGATTGGAAAACAGATTATGAGATAGATTAGGGTTTATCACAGTCATACCCCTTATTTTATTAATATTACAGTGACACCCCTTTTAATCAAAACTAATAACATCAACACCTTATTTCTCAAAGTCTGTTAAATTTAAGTGGGTAGTGTCAAAAATACCCCTTCAATATCAGCCATTTTTTTTTCCTTTTTTTCTTTTTTTATTTGATTTTTAATGAAAAAAATGTGTTGTGATGATTTGTAATATTTTTTTAGAGAGTTAGATGTAAAAATATGTTCAAAAAATGTTAATTTGTTTAATTTTCTGTATTATAATTTTTGTTATTAATATTTAAAGTTTAATTCAAAATGCATTTTGGTTTTATTATTAGGATAAAATTGTCCAATTTACTTTAATATTTTAATTAAATTAATTTTCTTTATAATATTTATTTTAATTGGTCCTAATATGCACTAAATATTAAATCACCTTTTAACTTAATATGCTACTTTAGTGGATGGAGTATGCATTACTAAAACAAAATATTTTTTTAGAAAAACAAAAAAAAAGTACAAAAAGAGATTTCTTTTTATTAGAGTGAAAATTATAATTACAAATGTGAAAATTAATTAAACTCATTTTTTGATGTTACATAAGGGTAAAATTGACATTTCTAGTATTATACATATCTTAAATTTTTTTTTGATATTTTCAAAAAGATTAGCGGTCAACTCACAATCAACTAACGGAAGGAGTGTCAGTGTAGTCTTTTTGAAAAATTAGAAGGTGTTGGTGTTATTAATTATGGTCAAAAGAGTGTCACTGTAATATTAGTAAAATACAAGAGGTGTCACTATAATAAGCCCAGTAAATTATGATACAAAACTATGGTCATTTTGTGTTAAAAAAAAAAGAAAAAGAAAAAAAGAGTTTATGTTGCTCTAGAGACTTGTGTATGATTGTATGAAAATAAAAAATAAATAATTTTTTTCAAAAAAATAATATTGATTAGATATTCTTAAATTCGTTGTTATAGGTAAAATTGATGAAATGATCTTTTCAATACTAGCATGTTCTTTAGGTTATGTTGAAAGGATGAGAGTTTAAATAATAATTTCCTGGTACAAGTATTTTTTTTTTCTTCCTCCAAAATCGTTCTAATTTCTGGTGGACCGACTTGGAGGCATAAAATTCTTAATCCGTCTAATTTTCCAAACCTGCAGGCTACACTATTTAGAAAAGAGACTTGAGGTGAGTGAGAACTTAAGAAGTGAAAACTTAGAACATTTTCTGATAAAAAAAGGATGAAAAAAACTTAGAAGAAAATATTGTGGTCTACAAATGTCCAAATCAACAAAGATGGCCCCACGCATGGCTGTTGAGATTGATGGTAAGTTTTGGTTGCCACGGAATATTTACACTCCTAAGCAAAGATGGATTTCATTTGCAACTTTCTTATCCACGAAATCTCCTCAAGTTAAAGCCCCAGAGAAAGAAAACACAACTTATCGCAGAACCCAGAAGCAAGAAAAGGAAAAAGCTCTTCTTCTGAGAGATGTTACAAACCCCAAAATTCTTGCAATCTCCAACAAAGCTACTTCATCCTCCACCACCACCACCACAAAATATTCCTCAATTTCAACAAGTACCCACTTCTCAATCTTTTCCCACACTAAAACAATGCTGCAAATTCTCACGCCGAGAGCTCGCAATCCGAAGCAATTCTCTGTTGCTTTTCCTCTTGGGATTTCAGGGTCCGGAGCCATTCAAACTGTCAGAAGCAAGAGCAGAAGAAGAAAACTTGGAGGACACCAATACAAAAGAGGATGTAAACAAAGTAAATCAGGAGGATACCAATGCTAGGAAGGAGATAAACAAAGTAAACCAGGAGGTTACCAATGTAAAAGAGGAGATAAACAATGATTCAAACTCTACTACTACTTGTAGTGATAAGAGCTTGACAAAGAAAGCATTTCTTGATATATCCATTGATGGGAAACCTGTTGGCCGGATTGTGATGGGGCTATATGGAAACGATGCCCCAATTGGAGCTGCTAGATTTGCTAGTCTTGTGAGTGGTAGAGCTGGAATCAGCTACAGAAGAAAAGAGTTTGTAAAAATCCTGCCAAATTATGTTCAACATGGCGGGGTTAGATCCTATGGCGTGGATGCAGAGCTTGCAAAAAGGACAGGCAGCAATTTGGAGGCCGATAATCTAGTAGATGAGTGGGAGAGAGTGAATGAGAAGTGCCCGGGAACGAAGAACTTGGCTGGGACAGTGAGCATTGTTGTGAGAGATCCTTCAAGACCACCTCCAAAACTCAAGTTGGTTGCGAGACGAGGGAATCTGGAGATCGATGAAGAGGAGGTCAGGAATGCTCCGAACGGGACAGAGTTCATCGTTTCTTTGAAGGATTCGCCGGAGGTGGATGCTTCTGCTTTGGTGGTGGGAAGGGTCTTGGAAGGGATGGAGGTTGTAGAGAAGATTGGCCAGGTGAAGACTGTGCAAGAGAATACCAGTTCTCCTTATTTTAGGTGAGTTTCAAGCCTTGCGTCAGACGATCAGAAAAAAGCCAAAAGACGTGTTACATTTTTTTTTTTGGTTAAACTAGACATCCAAATATTCTAACAGCAAATGATTACATTAAATAGGTTCTACACTTGGGATTCATGCATTTACATACCCAATTCTAGCAGGGGGAAAAGAAAAGGAAACAAAAAAAATTTAATGACCAATTATTGTGCTGTCAAATCTAGCAATGCATGTGGCTTCTTGACCTTAAAAGCCTAGTTAGCAAAGATTTTATAAGAGCTGTTTGCATGTAGAGAAAAAGTTCGAAAGCATACAAGCATTTCTCATTGCATTCACGTCTCATTTGTCAAGGTAGTCAAAATTGTGATAATACTAAGATTAAGAGAAAAGAAAGAAAAAAAAGTTAAATCATACAAAATAGAGGTCATTTCTTACAAACTATGACCAAATAAAATTTTCACGGCTTCAGTTTCTTGGATACACATACTTTTTCCATTAAATGTCATTGGTGATGATTTTTGGCCTCTGAACAAAGACATTCTAACAATCCGACTTTTGTTCTGAATGAAGGGTGGCCAAGCTAATCGGTGACAAGAGAGCTGTTGTAGCAGAAAGAGGCTTCAACCGCCCTTATTCGAAGGTGCTGGTCACAAATTGCGGCTTGATGGAGTAACATACCCTTTTTATTTTTGTTCAGTTTTTGTTCGAAGAGCAATACTTTCATGTAGTACAATAACCCACCTGTGTTCTCTGGACGAACGTCAATGTCATGTTCTTGAAATTGGAAGTTTTAGAAGGTAATCTCAAGCTGGAGTTTTGCAGCAAACGAAAAGGACTTTGAACCAAATTAAATGAATAGCACAAATCGACATTTCCTGCAGTATTAACTTCTTAAAGCTGCAAGCACTCTACCAAAAATGAGATCTCCAAGCCTTGCTAGTTCTGAGTATTTCGAGTTGATACAAGATCGCGCTTCATTCGCTTAAGAGATGGAGACATAAAAAGCTTCCTTACTGAAGTGATGGGATCATCCACCTGAAAAAGATTATAAAATGCAAAAACAATCAATCACTTTAGACAAGTTTTAAGGTAATCTATTGAAATATACATGCACAGGCAAGCACATAACACGGCAACATGCATCTTCACATATGTCCTCTCTGTGCGTGTGCGTGCATCCATCTGTATATACCAAACAAACCTGAACTTGGGAAAGGTTACAACCGCATGTTTTGAAGAGGTCTGGGACGTGGCATATATTGAGGCATTGCCCATCTCCAATAAATGTGAAAGCATAGTGTCTTTGTGTGCAACAAACTAGCATTTCACAAGTACAATGGAAAGAGAAGTCCAGAAATACCTCAATTATGGAAGCAGATGGAGAAACCTTGGATGACGATGGTGAGGACCCTTGATGACGTAGTAAAGCAGACTGTGTTTGTTGCCATCCAGGCGCCGCTTTGCCCATTGGTGCAATCCAGGGGCAAAAGTGCTTGTGCTGCCTGATGGGGTCAAACTCCATTGCTTTTTCTGATGACACTTGTTGATCCTTCCCTAATAAGAAGGATATAGAAGAGGTTGTAAAAATTTGCTTAGGTTTCAATTAAAACATAACAGGACACTAATTTTGGATTTCCAAAATAAAGCAGTTGTTTTACAATTCACCAGGCACCAAGTTTCCAAAAGATGAACAAAATGGATTTCTATTGCTCCCAGTGCAGTCATCATTCATAAATAATAAGAGCCACTTCATCTACGCATCCAAGAAAAAGATTTGAGGGATAAAAGCAACCTCAGAAAAGAATTATAGAGTTCTGCATATTTGCCACCTAGGATTCTAGGGTTATACAATTTGATATTAGCGAAATAATAGCAATAGAAAATAGTATAAAACTAAGGAGTGAGTTTAATTGCAAATGAACATCATTTAACCAAAATATGCATATGATATGAACCTAGCTAATGCAAACACTCTGATGAACCAGATAATGAATTCTCATTGAATTAACAGATAAAAATGTACAAGAAAAAACCAGAAACAGTGGTATTCGAGAGACCACCACTCTCCCTAGGCTTGGTTTCCCAAGCCCCAAATGAATCCAAAATCATTTCCAAAATCAGACATAAGCCTCCCCATCCTTGCCCTTCTAACCCAATGCTAACAAATGACCCTGTAGTCAATTATACTCCTTAAGTAACTACTAATTACTAACTCTAATGCTTAGTACCTAACAGCATATTCCCTGTTATCAGAGTAATGACATAAAACAACCAATTTCTCGAGTTGGCTGAACGGTTGAGACTAAAGACTTGCCTCCTTATTTACCAATACTTTATAAGTTTCTAAGCGTTCCCTACCATCCTTATTCTCAATCAACAATCTCAGTCAAACAGTTACCTAAATTGAGAGTTAACATGACACCTGTTCTTTATAGAAACACATGGGCAGAAAATATGAAATAACTAAAATAATAACAAAAATATGAATAATAATGTCTGAATTTAGAGAGAAACAAGCACAAGCAATATGATTATATACAGATATAATAATCAATACGTGAAGCTAGGCTCTAACGATACTGTAATACTTGTCATTCATATTCAGGTCGACATTCATGGTCAAAAAGCAAAAGGCAAATGTGATATTGCTTACCAGTACCACCCGAGACAAGTTCATCGTTTACAGGAATCTGCCTGTTGCCTACGCCATTCTCCTGACTGTTAAATCTTTCAAACAATGTGGTTTGATCATCATTTCTGGTTTTCTCCATGTCTACATTGGTTTCCGAACAAGACGGAACAGATGAAGGCTCATCATAGCCAGCTACAGAAGTATCTTCACCATGTACTATATCTGTATGGGAAATATGTAGCAAATCACCATTGTGAGGTGAGACCATCAAAGACACGTCATCTTTTCCGTTTTCACCAATTCTATTTGTGCCCTCATCAGGGGTTACAGTAGAAGGGTTCAAGTCATCATTCCCTACATTTTCAACCAACATGTTATCCTGGAAATTACTTTGCGGTTCCATTTCATGGCTGTGTATCCTAGATTCAGAAAGAGTTCCTGGTTCAGTGAACTCTATTCCTTCCAATGATGTACGGCTGTCATTCTCCTTGCCAGAAGCATCCCCTCTTCCGCCCGTGTGACCCTTTTCTTGGTTAAAACCTAAGTGATCACAAAATGCAGCATCATTACAAAATCGAGCCCTTAGAGCACGACCAATAACAGGCAAAGAAATAATTGCTTTAAAATTTTGTTTCGTTGGTGGCGGACCCCCGGCAATGGTCAAATTTAAACACCTCTCTTTGGCGAGTGTGGCACTATTGGAACCAGTACTTATGATCTCTCTCCTATTTTCAGGATTATTTTCAGTGACCAAATCATGGTTTCCAGAATGATCTTCACTATTTATTTCTGCATATCCAACTAATCGGAACAGTTCCATAGGTCGTGGTACCATAGAGAAAGTCCATAATCCTACACTAGCTCCACAAAGCCTGCAATCTAGGACAACAGAATTGGGATCATAACTATTGTAATTCTCATTCGCCTCTGGCACTTCATCAACTCTTGTAGACTGCACATCAATGCCAATATTCTTCTGTCCATTAGCAACCACGTTAAGCAAACTTGAAACATTTGCCTTCACAAGCGACTGAGTTGATGCATGCCCAGTGTCAACCACATATGGCATTAAGCGAGGTTCCCAGCCACACAAACTTATAAGCTTCTGTGCCTGAAATCATCATCACTCATATCAAGAATGCAACATCAAAATTCATAATTACATCTTATTTTTGAGAATGCCAACCAGTGATTCAGATTATCATTAACATCACTAGCAGCCACATTTATGGCATAAGAGCAACTCCAACCATGCTAGCCATTTCATGTTTTTAGCTAAAATGGCTAATGATTTAGCTTTTTCATTTAGCTTTTCTCCACTCCAACCATTAGCTAAATGGTTAGCTATTTTAGAGAATGCCTTCCACACTAGCTAAATATAGGTAGCATAGAGAGGCTAGCCATTTCATTTTTTTTTTGGGTATTATTTTTTTCTTTCAATTGTAATAAATGCAAAGGTTCTTTTGTAAATTTAATAAAATTATTTATATTTTAAATTCAATAAATATTAAAATAATCTATACTTAGCCAAAATAGGGAGTATGGTTGGAGTGACTAACCAAAAAGTTGCTAGCTAAAATAGCTTTCTAGCCATTTTAACTAGAATTTACCTAAAATTTAAAGAGTTCCTTTGGAGATGCTCTAAGTTTATATCATAAGATGTTGTGAACACAAGAATAAAGAAGGCATAAATTATTATGCAATCAAAACGAGAACCAACTATAATAGAAGAAAACTGTAACATCAAGGGGACACAAATGATGATACCTTAAATTTAAGGTATGAAATATTTATTAGATAGCAAATTACCAATTGATGAAGAGCGTTATGGGTTTTTAAACCATAAAATTAACTAATCAAGCAGTAGTAAAGTTCAACCACTTCCATGATAAGTCAGTAAGATGCTAACAACCAAGAAGAGGACAATATAAATACAGTAAAAAGTTCATATGGTCCCCAATGATGAAGATTCAAGATCGTATGCATAGGGTGACTTCACCCCGCAATATAGAATTTATTAGATCACAAGAAACAATGTGTCAAAACTCAAACCTGATAATACTTCTTCTCTAAATCCTCATCACGTTCATGACCAAGATATTCTGTTCTTGAAATCTCTGCAGATCCATTCTCATTATGCAGCACTAAAGACTGTTCAAGAATTTTCTCAAGCTCAGGAGTTCTCATGTGCTCGGTTGCTGAAGATGAAATCACAGGAAGAAATGAAAGTTGTAATAGGGCAGAGCAGCGCTCTTTGAATTTATCAACTAAAACTGGAGCTGGGGTCGGTGGGAACTGGGCCAGTATTTCATCACAAACATTATCAATCCATGGACAATGTAATTTGTGCCCCCTGTCCAGTTTTAAGCTAAACACTGCAGCCAGCTTCTCAACTGACAGAAAATAAAAATTAATTCCATTTCAGTTTCAAACGAACAAACCCTTGAGGAAGATTTAAAGCATGGGTTGGATAGAGCCAAACTTCGTAGAAGAGAACAGCATCGTACCTTGCTGCTGATTCCAAGCTGAAGGAGTAGAAAAGAGTAGGCGTGCCTGACACGCTTCACAGGTTATGGTATCGATATCTACATTGATCCAACCTCTTCTAGCACAATTTAAAGCACTCATTACCTGATAAGAATTAGAAAATTTAAATTTTAAAAGGTTCAAGAAAAGAAATTTATCTGGAAGGGTTAATGGGAAAACACCAGAAAGGGAATTTTGCAAATAGATCAAATGAAACCAACAAAAATATTGCCTCCCTTCACGACACCAAAAAAGGCTTTAAACCATTCAGAGAACCACATAAATTTTAAATGAATTTCTCTGGACAAGCACACAATAATGCTATGAGACTATCCAAGATTGCAAGTATTCGTAGCATTCTTTCATGGTTACCAAATTTTGAGTACACAAAAGAAGTAAATGTGTTATTCACCGCTCTGTTTCAAATGTCGTATTCCACTTTTGAATAGCAGCCAAATGATCAGAGGGAACATCTAATATGTATTTGAATAACTCTCCTCTCTTAATGTGTTTCGTTTACCCTGCTCAAGTGCTGATCCCTTATAAAATAGCACAAGAATCACTTACAGAGGTGTATTCTAATTCAGGTATATAAGTCTAGCCTTCTTAAGAATAGGAGAGAGTCTGTGGAAGATTCACTGATTAGCAAAGAATCAGCTGAGAGACAAGGCTAAATTGTTTTAATCTCTACTTCTTTTTTACTTTCCGAGAGATAAAAAAAGAAAAAAGAAAAACAAAACAAATAAGCATAAGATCTTATACTGTTTGTACTTTTTTGTACTTTTTACTTCTTTGTACTTTTTTTAGATAAGAAAAAACCTGTTTTAGATAAGATCTTACACTTCGTACTAAAACTTAGACTCATGTTGCAAAATCCTCATATCAAAGTAGTTCAATTTAGCAAGTTAAAAACATGAGCAAAGTGTTGTAGAGAACTCAAGGATAATGCTATATTATGCATCCAAGAACAATATTTTCTCAATGAAAGGTTATTGAAAAACTTTCTGATATATTCGCAACCGATTCCAACATATGTCAGTTGCACCATCAGCATCCTAAAATGAGAAACTTAAACGTCTGTCTCAAGAACTTATTAATCTCCACAATCTCCCCTAACTAAGAAAAGAGAAATACAAAAACAAAAAGTAGAAGTATACCTTGGGCTTAGCAAACCAAGTCATGGACTTGAATGTGGCTAACCTCCTCATAAGATCTCCGCGGTCCCATGGCCTACACATTGGAGCCTGATACGACGTTGACGGAGCCAACGACGCCACCACTACATTACTACTCGATTTCGGTTCTACTAGCGCCAATGCCGACGACGGGTTTGCCCGCTTTTTGCCCCGCGATGTTTGTGTATTCGAAGAACTAGCAATCGAAAATAATATCCCAGTAAATAAAACAAAAATGACAGATGCCGTGATTTTTCAATAATGTATCAAATAAATTTTGCAAATAGTTTCAAGTAACAACCTGCATAAACACCAAACAATCATTAAAACGATACATTGGCATACCGTGTACAGTTTATATATCTAAATTTCTGAACGAATACACAAATTTCAACAAGAAAAATCTGCTTTATATGCTTAGTTTACTTAGAACTACAATTACACGAAAAACATAAAAACGAAAAAATAAAAAGTTTCGAAGCTAAATTTCTTGAAATGAATCTAAGAGCATCCTCTGACAGCTTTTACCTAAACGGTAACTCAATATTCTCCTATAAACAAAATCTCATTTTCGGTCAAGTTTTGTCCTTTTTTTCTCGGGAACCAAACAAGAGAAAGAAAAAATGGAAAGAGAATAAAACCTGGAGGAGGAGTTGGGAGCGGATTTGGGAGAATGAAAGAGCTTGTCCATGATCGAATGGAATCTCTTCTCAGAGTCATCCGTCATCGTTGTCCAGTAATTTTTTTTTTTTGTGTGTGTTTTTTTTTTGGGTTCAGAGACGAAATATTGTAGGAAAATAATAATAATAATAATAATAACTTGTTAGGTTTGAAGTTTGTGTTGTTCGAAGCGAAAGACCCTTGATAACTCACAGAAATAGAGTTATTTAGCATACTTTTAGGCTTAATATTTGTTTATATTCTCCGGGTAAAATGTCTTTGTGTTAGTATTTTGAATAGCATTTATTAATCTTTTTCCGTGTGGCAGAAAGTCGTTATTTATGGGAAATCTTGCTATATTTTGAAGTTATTCCTAAATTCAACTCATTGCATTGACCCTGGGAACTTAGTGCATGATGTCCACAGGAAGTGTTGACGTAGGCTTTTGGTGAGAAAAGCGCGGTGGAAAACACAAATGTTGAAATGCCCCCAATGCCATAGCATTGCTGCAGCAAAGTCGCAGCAAAAGCAGGAGCAGCCAAAAATTAGCAAGCTGGCGCAGTTTGTCTTTTAGCGCTGGTAGTGGTTCAAGCACTGACGGGACAGCTGTAAGAGCACCAGGAGGGGGGACCATCAATCATGACTCTCATGCATACACTTGTCACTAGGGCACCTCAACATGCCCTAGTATATAAAGGAAAAGGAGAGTATAGTACGAGGGGGGTAGAGAAGAGGAGCACGGATACACAGGGGTTTTTGACCTCAGATTTTAGCTTAGCTGTTTTCTCCTTCTCTCTGTATTTACTTTCCGAGACCTTATGGATCTGTTATTTGTTATTAATTCTGATTTTGTTGAACTAAACATGAGCTAAATTCCTTAGCTAGGATTATTGATGGAACCAAAGTTGCAATGAAGATCTATTTGCTATTTTGATTGATAATGTAATTTTCATATGGTTTATTCAAGCATATTTATTGTTTACTTTCTATTAAGTGACAGGCCATCATTTAGTAAGAAAACACAAACTTAAGCTAATTCTGGAAAGGTTGGTTAAGTTAGATCTAGCTTGGATAATGTAAGAGATAGTATAGGAATATACTATTATCTTGCACAACCCATTAAAATTGATGTTAACGTCAGGTCTGTAAACTAAAATACATAGGAATATGTTGGTTTGGTTTAAGGAATTACAAGCATAATTCTGTCGGAAGATGATTATGTAGAATTTTAGGTTGACTAGATGAACTTTGCTGCAGCAATCGTATAGCAATTCGTGGTCAGAGTTGCAACCGAGGGGAAATCAGTAATCCTAGCCTTCATCCATCATTAAATCACAGCTCTAAGCTCAGATCTTGTTGACTTTTACCTCTTGTCTGCATTTAAATTACAGTCTTTGGTCTTATACATTCTTTTCACTTAATTAATATCAATTTGGCATTCAACCTACTCTCAATCATATTGATAAAACTGGTTTTTGTAATAGAATTCCTCATCAACTCAGTCCCTGTGGAGACGATACTTTACTCATTACTATATTACTTGTTCGATTGCGTGCGCTTGCGTGGAGTCATTTTATGCATAGAGTTTTTGGCGAACAACCCTACACTCTATTAGGGCCGATAATATAGATCACGACACGACGATATAATTTGAAAATAATATAAATTTTGTGGGTTAGGGTTGAGAAAAAAGAGGTTCAGGTTAGAATTGAGTCAACCTGAAATTGATATGAAAAACACATGTCAATTTCGGGCTGGACCCGCCTAACCCGAACTATTTTAAATTTTATTATGAACTTGTGATATCATGATAATTATACTCAAAATCTTATACTACTATTTGCTTAATTTCAATGGATGTTATTGTAATTTAGTGTATTATGAATTTTAAGTTATTTTTAATATGTAAAAAACTAAATAAAAGTATACAATTTTCGTGTCAATTTCGGGTTCACGGGTCGTATCGTGTCAACTCGTAAAGTGGTCGTGTCGTGTTCATGTTGCGGTTTTTAAAAAATTTCGTGTCACGGGTCGTGTTCGGGTTGACTGTAAATTTAGAAAGAAACGATCAAAACAATGCTCAACAAGCCTGTACTTGCAAAGCTCCTCAGCCTTACTTCCCAATTCCCATAGGGTTGTTCATGGATTGAGTTAGTGTGTAATAAAATTTTTTTTCTGTCTTAAAAAGTGCGGGTTTCACGTATTTAACCTCAACAATATTAGAAAATTTTCACAATCTAATAATGTTTAAATTGAGTTAGACCGGTGTGGGGTGAGTTAGTTAGTCAGTTTCAATATTAAAAAAATCAAAGACTTAACGTTCAATTCAACATTCTAAGTTCATAATCAAATAGAAATAATAACTCCAATATTCAAACAGATAAAATTTCAAAGTTTAATCCAACATCAAACATGAAGTAAAGTAGTCCATCTAACATCAAAGATAACGAACATTAATTAGTCTACACTCATAAATTAGTCTTAACATAAAACAAACATTGAGGCTTAATTCAAACATGAAGAAACTAGAGCGTAAAAATGAGTTGTGTGCTTAAGATTAGATATTAGAGGAGATAAATTAGAGCGCGAATTGAGTTAGAATGTGTGAGCCATTATAGGCCCAACTCACATCCCACTTCAAAACTTGAGATTAAATGGGCCCAAACAAAGAATTAATACTAAAAATTATATTTTTCAAATTGAATTAGAATGGAGTAGGTTGGGCCTGGATTTTACGGGTTTATGAACAGCCATAATTCCGGCAATTCTCTCCCCCTCTCTACATTCTGAGTTCCGTCTCTTCCTTCTAGTTCCATATGCAGAGCTGGGCCACGCCTGTTAGACGTTGCAGCCCATTTCAATAATACAAACAATTTTTATTTGGGCCTACAAGGCCTTAAAGTAGGAAACAATATTTTTGACGGTAAACTGTAGATTTTAAAACTATTTAATAGTTTATTAATTATTTACTACGTAAATGATTCATTTACAATTAGTAAATTTTTTTTTTCATTTAAATTTTCTTTTTATAATTGGCAAAATAATTTTTTACGTAGATAAAGATTTTTTACTATGTAAGTTATTTTTTATCGGTTGTAAATAATTTGACAATTGTTTACTTTTTACCTCAAATAGTTTTAAAATCTGCTATTTATTTAATCTAGTTTTAAAAATATGTTATTTTAAACTTCATTGTATTTCTCTCTATTATTTGACAATTATTTATTTTTGAGCAGAGTGGATATGTTTATTTTGCAATTTAAGTTAAGAACTTGAGTTGTGTATGTGAGAAAAAAACACTATAGCAAAAAAGTGAAATTTAAATTTTTGTGAAAGAAAATATTATAGCAATAAAACTTGAATTGTAATTTAAGTTGTGAAAAAAAATCATGCCAATATATGATGTCATCTTTGAGTATTATTTATGATATTTTCCAACAATAAATTGAGCTTGGACTGCTCTCAAAGTCCACCCTCATTAGCTCCTATAGTAGTACCATTTATGAAGGGAGAAATACATAAAGGAGGAGGAGGAAAATAAGCTTAAGTCAAAAGAGGAATAAGAATTAATAAGCCAACATTTAGAAATAGTTTATATATAAATAGGCCATTTAAGTGTAAATTCTTATTTGCAACTATTTAAAATTTTAAAAGTATCTCCACTTAAATTTTAAACTTCCCCCAAAAAAAACCCTAGTTGATTCTCTCTCGCATTGTTCTCTCTCGCCATAGATGACATCCACAACATCAACACCATCTTGAGGAGATGGCCGTTGAAGGTCGCGCCGTCGCAAGACTATATTGGCAAGGTCATCACGCAAGGTCCGTGAAGGAGACGATCTTCAGGGTGCAACTTGAAATCTGTCTCAACTTTCTCTAATTGTTGATTTTCTCTCCGATTGAGCGGTGGTATCATCTGCAACGTGAAGCATGTCTAGGGCTTTAATTTGGGACCAACTCTTAAATAGGGGGCCATTTGTAATTTCACTTTTTTGAGGGTGGAAAATATTAAAACTAATAAACAAATTATTTAATTGAGTGAAATCAAATTAGTAAAAAACTAGTGATGAAAAAAAGCACTCTTAAAATTGAGAATAGCCTATTTATTTCTATACATTAATAAATCGATTATTTACATCTAATCGTTTTTAAAGTTGGCTTATTTACTATAATTTCTCAATACATAAATGCCACTCAAAATAATGCCATCTTTTTATTTATGTTATCCAGTGGCATAAAATCTATGAGATTATTCACTAAAAAAATCCAATCTATTAGCATAAATAAGCTCTTAAATTTCGGTGGCATGCCATGTAATTTTCTCAAATAATATTAGTATATAAACTCTAGTTAATTCGTGTAAACTAGACTCATCAGCAATGCAATACTAAATTTACGTGCCGTCAAATTATAACATTTAAGTGGAAAAATTATCTCCAATACAGTTGTGATTTTTATACAAACTTTGGCATATACTAATATTTTATGTCAAATTTGCATCTATTAAAATTTTATATTTGATTGCTTTTAGTTGATATATTGTCCCTTTTTTTTTAATCACTAGTCGAGTCACGTGCTATACACGTAAAAAATAATTTTATAAGTTTAATACCCTGTCAAAATATGTGGTCTCCTTAGAAGTTAAGTCAATTAATTAGAGCAATAAAAAAAATATTTTAAAATAAAAAATAAAAGAATAAAACATTTAAAAAATAATAATAATAGAAAAAGAAAAAAAGAAAAAAAATGAGGGGGAAGGGGGTAGGAAGGGCTATCACATGGGAGCCTAAAAAGTACTTTGTGGGAGGTACTGTAAGAAAAAAAAAATATGTAAAGATAACTTTTAATATAACAAAAATTATACTTAAAACAATTAAGTAGGGACATATTTAAAAAAAATTATTTTAACTATTAATAAAAGTAAAATTAAATAGAAACATATGTAAAAAAAATTACTTTTAAAAAATTAACGTAAAAAAATTGAACTATAAAAAAATTCACAAAATAAAAAAATAGAAATGCAAAACATTTGAAAGATGAAAGGAATAAAGATAAAAAAAAGTAAAGTGGAAAAAAAATGAAAGGAGGAGAGGCGGCCACATCATGCTCTAAGATAAAAATACTATTATTAGAATTTTTGGATTTTTTATGTATTGTTATATTACGATTTTGTATGTACAATTTATTTTAAAGGCAATTTTTATAGTAGGGAAGGGTTTTTATCATTATCAATAGCGAAGGCCTTTTAGTCGCTGAAATAATTGTTCAACAACCTGAACACTTTTGTGTAAGCTCGGCTCAAACCTTTCCACGAAATGATATGTAATTTGAATTCGAACACTCTAAAATGGTGTTCATTTATTTCATTCGAGTTATTCACCCATGCCATTAGACTATTAGTAATTCGGTACTAGTTAGAAATTTAACTAGTGCCTCATAAATACAATGTGTATCATATATAAAATTTTACAATCCTTGTGATGTGAATGATAGTGTTTGTTGGCGGGAGTCCACACTCCTCCATTAGTACAACGGTAGACATGTTTTTCAATATCTATCTAGATGACCAGTATCCCCACATTTTTTATTAGAAAAGTATTTTTTAAGATACTTGCATACCGCATGAATTTCTATTTTACCTGTTTTTAGATTTGGTTTGGGCTCCTCTGTGAAATGCTGTCATGCAAAAAAAGTTCGCGGTATTTTTTCCCTGCTGCGTTCTCCAACTTCCTCATTGTGTACTGAAGCATTATCAACCGGAGCATTTTTCGGTTCAGTGGGGGTGGGGTTGGGAGGCATCATTTCATCCTCGAAAAATAGCTCATCACTAAGCTTAGGGAGAGCAGTGAAATCAGGGAAGTTTGATCGGCCATTTTTTAAAAATTGATTGAACTTAAACTTTGTAAATGAAAGAGCAAGAAAATGAGTGATCGCGAGAGAAAATCTTAGAATCAAAATCAAAGAGACAAGATGAGAGATAGAATGAAAGTGAGATGAGAAGTTGAGAGTGAATTGTTGTGTGAGATTTAAGGTTTAAGGGATATTCATAGGGGATTTTAGGGGCTATTTTCGGATTGTGACCATTGGGCCTGTGAAGGGCCTAACGGTCACAATCCTTACGGGCTAGAGGGCTTTTTGGCGGGTCGTTTTGCGGGCCTGGGCCAGGCTGAATGAGGGCCGAATCCGAGCTTGGGTTGAACTGGGTTAGGCCGGGCTGCAGACCTTCACGGGCTTGGCCCGCAAGCTGAGAAGTTACGGCCTAAACCCATCAAACATGCCGGTCCGGCATGGCCCATAACAGTATTGTTCCGGGCTGTGTTGAATCCGGCACTGTTACGGGCTAGGCCGGACCGTCCATGAACGGCCCGACCTATTTGACAACTCTACCATTAGTATGTGGGTGGTTTGAAAAACATCATTTTATGGTGAAAAGAGATAATTTTTCTTGATTTGATTTTCACTATACAATTAGAAGGGAATTAAAAAGGTTTTTTTTTTTTGTTTTTCTTATTTTCTTAAATTGATGTTTTCCAAAGAATGCCACAAGAAATAGTATATTGAAAGGAAAAAAAAATTATGGTTGTAATTAGAAACTCTATTCGTGGAGCGAGTATATTTAGAAATTGTTTGTGATAGCTTCTGCTTTTATCAGCAGCACTAGAATCTAAAAATAACAGATTCTAGCTCTCAAAATAACTTAAAAAGTATATTAATCTTTGTGTAAAGTGTTTTTATAAATTTTATCAAATATTAAAGTTGCATCGTTTATTTGTGTACAATATTAATTTTAGGAGTTTTGAAAATAATTCCAAACTCACATTTAATAATCATATTAAATTTTTAACAATCAAATTTATATAGGTGTTCAAATGAAAATAGCGCATCATACAACACAAAAGTGTCACACTTATAGATCTAACCATTAAATTTAATTAAATGTTAAAAAAGACTTGCTTTTACTAATAGGGCAAATGTAGCAATAGTCTAAAAATGAGTTCCTCTAACTCACCCCTTTACTGGAGAGAGAGAGAGAGAGAGAGAGGAGAGAGAGAATCGAGGCAAAGAATCAAGAAAGAAAACGACATGCCAAGTGAATAGGTCTGCAATGCCGTGTACTCTATTTTTGTGTAGCCTCTTAAGTTAAGAGATAGGATGGTCCATACTATGGACTCTCTCTCTCTACACACATATAATAAGCTGGCTACAACATAAATGAGGCTTGGAAAGTCAAAACATTTAGGATATTACCCGTAGTGGAATTCCTTTTACGTAAGAGCTTTGTAAGCTCAATGTTCACTTTCAACTATATAAAAGGACTAGCAAGCAACTTGTATCATGAAACTAAAGTGAGCCCATTTTTGCTTTTTATAGTACCAAAAGGACTAGCAAGCAACTTGTATCATGAAACTAAAGTGAGCCCATTTTTGCTTTTTATAGTACCGTCTGTGCAAATAGCACGCATTAGGGGTCATATTTTATTCTATTATTTTGGTTTTTGGTTGAAGGAATAAATATACGTTGATTCCAAATTCCAAAATATATGAGAAACTTTTTTTTTTTTTCCTTTGCTGAAGCCAAATCTATGAGAAAGAAAAGAAACTGGATTAGCCATCATTTTCTTTCATTTGCTTGCTTTTTATAGAATGAGGAAAAAAAATTAGAAATTTTTTCATAGTGCATCATAAGAACACCACTTTTGGAATGGTGTGATCTATACAAATTTTACTTTGTCCGTACGGAATATACTGTATTCTACCTAAATAAAAAGTATACTAGTCCAAAAACTAAAAATTTTTCTTGCTTTTTCCAATCTTTTCCCAAAATCTATTTTGGATCACAATCACACCCCATTTTTTGCCATGTTTAATTAAACACAGAATCTTACTTAAACTATACACACACATTACAAAACCTTGGCAATGAGAAGAGGAAAGACAAAAGATTGTTAAGAGCAACAGAAATAATGTCCAAACATCCAGTTACTTTTCTGCTTGAAAATGAACGTCCTAACCTATCTAGGTCTCTTTGAAATCCAAAAACCCAACAAAAAAAAACAAAAAAAACTCATAAATGCCACTTATTATAAGTTTCAACTGCAGGCAGTTGTGGTGGTGAATTATTGACATGCCCTCGACGCATTTGTGAAAAAATTAGGACGCAGTCATAAGCTGTCAATAATGGTACTATTGCACTCACCAAAAAAATTATGGTACTATTGCACTCACCAAAAAAATTATGGTACTATTGCAATAAAAGAAAAAGTTGTCATTGGCAGTTGAATGTGGGGTTTTCCCTCTGCAAACACTGCATTACAATATATACATACACACACACATATATATATATATATATATATATTGTATGTGTGTATATTGCATTGCATGCATATGCATGCGTGCCACTTATGAGGAAAATTAGAAAAAAAAAATGAAAAATAAAAAAATTGTCCCCTACAAACCCTAAACTCTGCCACCGTATTCTGCTTCTTTTTTGTTTGTTGTTTTTTGGGGTGGCTGCAGATCAGTCTCTTTATACAGTGCTAATTAAAAATAAAATAAAAAAATAATTTTAATTTTCACCATGATTATTAGCAGACCCTAATCTTCGTTTTCTTTTGTCCTATTGACCCTAATCTATTATGCATATGCTACCAATTTTTGTGTTTGGCACCGTTGGGATGGTCGAGATATATATACATATGGGCAATGTACTTCGAGAATGATGTGCATATATATATATCATTAGACTTCTTATGATGTTAGACTTCCATTTTAAAAGATCAAGTGAGGATTTTTTATGATGTTAGACTTCCCTTTTAAAAGATTAATGTGGTGAGTGAGGATGTATTTAGGTCTCGTTTATTTTACTAATTTAAATTTAAAATTTAAATTTTATTATAATAAAAAATTTTTAAAAACAGTTACATTTAATATTTTTACTGTAATAAAAAATTCTCACATAAAATTATATTTTAACTCAAATTAAAATTTTAAATCAACGAACTAAATTAATATTTTTTATTGTTATATATAATATATATATATATATATGCGCTCCTTTTACCTCTTTTTTACTAGATTCGCTGTTATTGCTATAACTATTAATGCCTACTTTTTTTGCCTCGAGAAGTGTTTTCATCAGTACTTGGCTGCAAATTAGCCTTCCTTAGATCTTCTTCTGTCTTCTTCCCTCCCTAGCCTCGGCTTTGCTTTTTGTAGAATAATTAAAAAGCACAAGGGAACTTGGAACAATTTCCAACTTACCCCTTTTTTCTTTGCATCTCCTCTGAGCACTACTCTCTTTGGTTTCCTCTATACATAGTTCTTTATATACATATACATATATACATATATATTATATTCCTAGACTCATCACTAGTATTTTTCTTGAGGAAAGTTGTTGTTTTGAGCATAATCTTCTTGCTGTATTGCATTTGCACACATGAAGGGTGGTTTCATAATAAGAGTTCAAAGTTTTGTTCTTGTTTATGTTTTTTGTGTTAGCCTGTTTGTGATGTGTAGTGATAGTAGTAGTAGTAGTAGTAGAGATGATCAAGAAGTAGAGCTTTCTTCAATAGCACCAATGGAGAGAAAAGAGCAAGAAGCTCTATACTATTCTATTCAAGGCTTTGTGGGAAAGTGGTGGAACGGTTCAGATCTCTACCCAGACCCTTGTGGATGGACCCCAATACAGGTATATATGTGTGTGTATAAATATATAATGTGTCGAAAGTTTTTTTTTTTCTTTTTCTTTTTTTCGATCTTTTTTTTTTCCCCTTTTTTTTTTTTTTTTTTTGCTAATTTGAGTTTAATCATCTAAATACAATGTTTGTGTATTTGAATTTTTTTAGTGTTAAGAACGTTGTTAACTTGCACTTTTTCTTTCTAGTCCTGAATATTTTATTTTTCCAATTTATCACCGTACTTTGAGTGAGTTTATTGATACATTTTTGTAGATAATATAAGCTATAATGTTCTTGCTCAACATATCATCATATTTTGAGTGACTCGTCAATTCATTTTGTAAATAAATTGGTCTACTCTGATGATCAAGACAAAATATAGAAAGTTAACAAACATCTACCAACATTTGAAACGATATGTTGAACTTCTTATTGTTATTACTAGTGTTCTAAACAAACGTCTACTTATTTTTTAGTGTTAACAAGTTTTTAATTCTTTTACTCCCTGACTTTTTTTCCCCCAATTTGTTATCAGACTTTCATTGATTATTTTTTGTAGACTAAATTTTTTTTTTTGTTCTATACCAACTTTTGTATATGATCATGCAGGGCGTTTACTGTGATCTCTATGATGGGTTGTGGTATGTTTCTGCTATAAACATTGGGCCAGTTTATGAGAACTCTCTCAGATGCTCACCAAAGCCAGAATTCTCACACCACTTATTCAAGCTCAAGCACCTAAAATCCCTCTCATTCTTCAGTTGCTTCATGATCTCACCACTCAGAATCTCCAGTTTAAGATGGGAAAAATTCAGCAACAGCTTAGAGTCTCTAGAGTTCAGATCAAACCCGAGTCTTGTCGGAACGATGCCAACCGCCATAGGATATCTCAGGAAACTCAACTCTTTGGTGCTTCTTGAAAATGGGTTATCAGGGAAATTGCCAATGGAGATGGGAAACTTGGTTAAATTGAGGAAACTTGTTCTCCAAGCAAACCATTTTGCTGGTCAAATTCCTACAAGTTTTGGGCAATTGGGTCAACTCTTAATACTTGATTTAAGCAGGAACAACTTGTCAGGTTCAATGCCGTTGTCTTTTGGATCTTTGAGTTCACTTCTGAAGCTTGATTTGAGCAACAATGTTTTACAAGGTAAATTGCCAATGGAGCTTGGAAATCTCAAGAATCTCACTTTGTTAGACCTCGGAAAAAACAACTTTTCGGGCGGGTTGGTTGAGTCACTAGAAGAAATGGGTTCTTTGAAAGAAATGGTGATATCAAACAACCCAAAACTCGGGGGTGATTTGAGGAACATTCAATGGAAGTACCTTAGAAAGTTGGAGATTTTGGATCTTTCTAACACAGGTTTGGCAGGTGAAATTCCAGGGGCAATGGCTGAAATGGGAAAGCTTAGGTTTCTGGGGCTTAAAAGTAACAATCTTTCTGGAAATGTCCCAATAAGTTTGTCATTTCTGCCTTGTATTAGTACACTTTACCTTAATGGGAACAATTTGGCTGGAGAAGTTGGGTTTTCAGGAGGGTTTTATAGGAAAATGGGATGGCGTTTTGGAGCTTGGGACAACCAAAATCTTTGTTACAATGGTGATTTGATTTCTGAAAGTTATGCTCCATTTGGGGTAAAACCATGCGGTGAGAGAGAATCTAGTAATCATAAGGGAGTTAAAAATGAAAAGATAAGTACTACTGAAGTGAGTGATAATTCCTATTTTGTGGAATCTTTGGGATGCTCAAGTTGTTGTCGTGGTGGGTTTTGGGGGATATTTTTGGTACAACAAATTACTGTTATTTTTCTTTGGGATGTATTATTGTAGGCAAACTTCATATGTAATATAAGCCAGTTGTTAGCCCCTTAGAGAAAGCTATAGTTATATTTGTCACATTTGTAATACATTTTCCTTTTGTTCCTCTACTTCTCCATACAGTTGAATTGTCTTTTTTTTTTTATTTTTTTTGTGTGGTATATTACACATTTGCTCTTAAACTTTATGGTTTTAGCAATTGACCCCCTAAACTTTTAATTTTGACAAATAACCCTCTCAAATTATAAGATTGTTGCAATATGCTCCATTTTGATAATGATTATGTTAAAATTAGTGTCCAAAAAGCACAATCAACGAAAAATTTCAACATCTTAATTCAAATGTAGCACAAATCTTTCAATTTCTTAACTTTTAAATTCTTAAATCTAATAAAAAAAGACACATTGTAATAATTTTACAAGTTTAGGGGTTAATTATCAGAATTAAAATTTTAGGGAGAATTTTGTTAAACCACGATAAATTTGAAGGGCAATTGTGTTAAAAACATTTTTTTTTTTTCATTTTCAAATTAATCCTCCCTTGGTCCAATGTATAACAACAAAAGAGTGAGAGAGAAAAAAAAGAATATCTATACCCTTCTGCTCAACCAACTTGTTTTTTATGATTTGATTTTTTGGGCATTATGAGATATAACACACAAAAAAAGGAGACAAATATTCCTTAAAAATACATGGGTCAAGATTTCTATCACTTTCTCTTGATTAATAACATTTTTAATCAAGTAACTATACTCGTAAAAAGGTATTAATCAAGAATTATGGGTAAAAATTCAAACTCATGCACTCTTAAGGATAAATTCTGTAATTTTCTCATAAGACATTCGGTTAGCTCTCAGAGTGAAAAATTAGAGAAATTTTTTTGGAAGAAAAACTAAAAATACACTCAATGTGATAACAAAAAATTATTTATATCATTCCACTAAAAAATAAACAATTTCTATTCAATTTCATAAAGAGAAAATAAAAGATTATAATGATATCCAATTAATTTAGAATGATATAAGTAATAGGCATATACAAACCATGACAAACTACCTATTTTTCTCAAACCGCCGTTTTTTTCTTTTTTTTTAAAAAACCGTCGCTTTTCTCACCTGCTTGATAACCATTTTTAAAAGTGATACATCTTCTCTTTTTTCTCTTATATATTTCGTTTATTTGATTTATCTGTTATTTTTTCCCCCCAAAATTGTCCGTAAATAAAAGAAAAGACGATATTTTTTGAATGGTTAACAAAAAAAAAGGTTCTCGCTTTGTCACAAAACACTCACACATTCAATATTAGGTATCGTATGGCAAGCGATCATGTTTCTTTACCAACAAGTTTCATTCACGTAACAAGTCATAAAAAAAAAAAAAAAAAAAATCAAAAAAAAAAAAAAATCAAAAAAAAAAAAAAAAAAAAGATATGCAAATAAATTTCATTCAACAAGAGTCATTTTGAAAACATTTTCTACCGAGTCAAAGATTACCTCTTTAACGGTTACCTCCAACAAAGCCCCACTATCTCCAAATTTCACTCCTAAGAATCCTCTCCCTCATTTTTTGTAACAAACTTTTTAACGTGCCAAAAAAATCCTTCTTTTAAGTCCAAACCCCAACTCCCAAATTTCCTCAAACGTCTACTTCCTACCTACTTCTATAGATCATCCAATTTCGGGAGCTCCCTAAAACAAAGTCCAAAACCAGCTTTCACAAAATGGCATCATTTTCATCCTCCAAGCTACTCTTCTCCGTCCTCTTCCTCTCCGCCTTCATGTTCCTCTCCATAAGTTGCACTCAATTCGAAGTCGGCGGCGAAAACGGATGGAAGAGTCCCAAGTCCAAAAGTGACCAAGATGAGTTCAATCAATGGGCATCAAAGAATAGGTTCATCGTTGGTGATTCTCTCCGTGAGTAGGAAAAACTCATCAACTCTTCACTAATATTAATGTCACCTATAACATATCATTAGTTGTAATTCCATAAATTTGTTTAGCCCTAGTGCTTTTCAAACTTTAAATAGTTTTTATCTAATGAAAATGGCATTTGGGTTTGTATGACACAATTCGTATATGATTAAGTAAACGATTTTGCGTTGGTTGGTTTATATATATATATATATATTTTTTTTTTTAATGTTATAATCAAGTGAATTTAATTAGCTAGCTTATTAGTGTTACATTTTTTTTTTAATCTTTTTGTTCCATTCATCATGTCAACTTCATTACGAATTTCAATTTGTTCAGTTATGGACAACTAATAAATTCAATATTTATTCTAATAAATCACGCCATTCAAGTCACATTTATTTTAATTAATGAAAGTGTTCGAGTCCTTGGACACAAATATTTGTTACCCTAAAATTGTAGCACTTAACTTTCATTTTGATTAATATGCTAGATTTCAAGTATGCAAAGGACTCAGTCTTGGAGGTGACTGAAGAGGAGTATGGGAAATGCCATTCCTCGCATCCCGATTTCTTCTCCAACAACGGCAACACCGTCTTCAATCTCAACCGATCGGGCTTGTTCTACTTCGTTAGCGGCATCTCGGGGCACTGCGAGAGAGGGCAGAAGTTGGTCGTAAAAGTTTTGGAGCCTGCAAACCCACCTGAGCAGCCCCCAAGCCAGAATTCAACAACAGAGAAATCTCAAGCCATTGCTATTGGGACCTTTGCCATTTCTTCACCAACTATTGTGTTCTTTTTGTTGTCTTTCATTGGAGTCCTTTTTGCTTAATTAGATTCAAATAACAGTGGCTAGCTAGCATGTTTTTGGTTAGGTTTTGTTTATTCTAGTAGATTAAATCTGTCGGGTCAGGTTGACATTGGAGAGTATTAGACCGAAAGTTATTATATTAATGGAATAATAAATTTGATATTGTGAATTTTGGTACGTTACATATGAATGTGCCTCATACGGTATTACATTATTCTAGCCATTTTCGTTTTCCTTCTTCAGTTGATTTCTGTTGTGTTATTCAATTCCGAAGTCTATTGCTAACCATGTAATTTATGATTTTTGTTTCATGATTTAATTGTTGAGTGAAAGTTCAGTTTTCAATAAAAAAATTAATATAAGTGTAACAGTGAAGAAACTAACATGTGAAACTAAGATAAGGTATGTCTAAATTATAGTAAATAGTATATGTATCAATACAACTTCATTTGATTACAAACAAATATAATTAGTAATAATAGAACAGTTTCTATGATTAGAACACTGCATTAGTATTTCCATTATGTCGCTAACACTATTGGCTAGGACATTTACGATACAATATAGTCTTTTAATGCTAAGGCTTCGTTTGGTAAGAAAAAAAGAGAGTAGAAAGTACGGAGAGAAATAGAGGGATGAGAAATATGAATGATGAAGGATAGAGAGTCGTTTGGTAAAAGGCAAGAAGAATAAGAATGATGGAGAGAGTAGCAGGGATGAAGAATATGAATGATAGAGATAATTATAGTAATTCTTTACATTGTTTAGTAATGATAGATAATATTTATTTGACTAATTGACGTTATATTATCCATTTTACTTACTACTTGTTAATAATATATTTTGAAGGATAAAAAAGTCTTCTTAAATCTTAATTTAAATTTTAGTAAATTAGTTAGTGAAAGGATTCAAATAGTTAGGCCAGTAAAGTCTCTTTCCTTCCTACTCTTCCATCCAAACAATGGTTGCGTTTGAGACTCGTTTTAAAATGATTTTATTTTTTGTATGAAAATGAAAATGAAAACGTTTTCAATCTAAGACAGAAATCATTTTTAAAAATACGTTTGGTAGTTTTATCAAGAGATTATTTTCAGTATAAAAAAATTATTAATGTCTCTCGCTCTTTCTCTTTGCTCGAGAAAAGAGAAAACGAAAACAAAAAATAAAAAACGACTAAAAGTACTTTTTTATTTCTCTCTCATTTTACACTAAACCAAAAAATCGTTTTCATTTCCATTTTTTATCTTTATTGCGTCAAACGCTGTTTTAGAAACGTTTTTATTTTTTTTCTCAAAAAAAGTAGAAAACAAAAACAGGATCAATTTCAAACACGGCCAATATATTCACCTCTTCCTCCACCCCTCCCTCCTGCCAAGCATAGTGTTACACATGCATAATATAAACATTATGTCACTAACAATACTTGGTTTGGACATCATAGTATAAGATATCCGTTATGTATTAATACTATACGATGTATGTGCATGGTTTTTCTTTTTCTTTCTTTTTTGAAAGAGCAAATAAATTTCTCATGAAAAAAATTACAAACACCATTATTGATGACTCATGTTCTCAAATTACAGGAAATTGCTAAACAACCGGTTCAACCAATAAACGTGAATGAAAAGCTCAAGACGAATAGACGTGCACCAAGCTCGAATAAAGAACATACAAATGGACACTCAACAATCAAACACATACATGGGTCTTTAACAAAACCTATAAAGTGGATAAAAAAAATCCGATTGTTCAAAATCGTGAGAACTATGGCAACAAGACCACATAAAACACGACTAAAAAATAAATCTAGCATACCAAAACACAACCTAACACTAGAAAAATAATACAAACACGCCACCAAATCGGGACAACACAAACTGTTATTATAAAACACAAAACACAGAAAAATAAAATAAAAAATACTAAAATCTATGGACAAGTGTGCCGATGCTTACTTTTAGTCATCATTACTACGTTCATATTTAGCTCACTTCGAAACTTCTACTACTTTAAAACCAAAGACTCTTAAAATTTAGACTACTTTTTTTTTTCCCCCTTCAATAGTGAAATAGATACTACTATATTTTGGCGGAATAAAATTTCGATTAGTATTTCCTAATAAAACTCGAATATTAACAATATTTTTCCAAAAACATTTTCAACTTCTTAATATTAAATCATCCGTAGATAAAATTCTTTTAAAACTTTGAAATTATTTTCCTTAAACGTGGTCATATATTTAACCCATCATTTGGATACCATTATCGTTCATAAGCCATTAACATGACAGCATTTTAGTTACATTAACATACCTTGTGACTTGGTGTTGGTCACTTTTTGAAATTAAGCTTCTATCTTGGTCTTCTAACCGAAACAACGCCGGATTCTAATTTTTGAGTCAATAAATCTAGTTTTCGTTTTTTGTCCGAAACTGAGAATTTTTATCGTTCTAGGTTTCTACATATCTTTAATCACCTATTCAACTTACTTTACATATCTTAATCCTCCTATTCTTCATTGCAACCGGTTTTAGTTCAAATTTTCTAACTAAATTTCGGCAGAGTTTTGCCTAATTTTTGGGTTTCCCGAGCTAACCATAGCTCGTTTTATCCATGATTAACCTTTCAAACACATCACATAATCATTCTCATTCCATTTTATCATCATAAACATCATAATCTCTAGGGTTCCTTCACTATTCTCACAAGATTTCTCCCTAAACAAAAAAGCTAAAAACATAATCCAATAACCGAAAATTTAACCTTTAGACACAGGTTTTTGGGTACCATTCATAACCATAAGCCAATCACCATTCTTAGCAAAATTTTTCCATGGATTCCACTATTCATGGACATGCAGCCAAGGTGAAAAATGAGGAGAAAAAGTTAAAATTTTACCTTAGAAGAATGAAGAACAAGTTCCGGTGATGCTAATTAATGGTAGCTTTCCGTTGATTTCAATTTGAACTCGGTTTTCTCACTTTGAGAAATTTTTTTTCCTCTCTCTCTTTGGCTGAGTTCTCTCTGTTTTCATGCATGAAAATGGACACTTTTTTTGTATTTTTTCCTTCTGAAAACCGGCCATTTATCATCTTTACTTCACATATCGTCTTACTGTCATTCTTTTATCATGACAGTAATTTTAATCTTAATTTTTAACTTTTACTTCTTATGGACCCCGTACCTGTTGTACAGTTGCGCACATACCCAATGAGGAGTGGGAGAGCTACCCAAAACCAACTCACCCATGGTTTTATTCATAATAACCTCCATTGGGAAGGCCGGTACAAACAGTTTTATTAACTTTTATCGTCTGTCATCTTTACTAAATACGTCATGTTACTATCATATTTTCTTGTCGTGATAGTAATTTGAGTCTTATCATCTTATTGTCATTTTCTTTCTTATTATGACAGTAATTTTTTTCTTATCGTCTTACTGTTATATTTTCTTATTATGATAGTAATTTAGTCATATTTTTGCATCTTTAAGTATTTCTAACAATTTCTTATGAAACTGAGCTTTATTTAAATATTTGACTTTTGTTGACTTTGACTTTATCTTTTTCGCAGGTTAAAATTATACTGTTAATCCAAGTCCATAAGCACAATCAAAGCAACAAATAAGACTCAGGAAATATTTTTCACATAATATCGTTCATTGAACCTACAATATGCACAATTTTGTGCAACACAGAGAAATACGCTTGTTCGTGATATAGACAAAAGAAAACAACTATACTTATAAAATTTTTGCTAAAGTTATGACTTTTGAGTCACTAGTAACTTTACTGCTTGGATCGCCTACCGATCCTATCATATAAGTTCCTGATCGTTAGATTTATAATCTAAGACTAGTTATAGTAATACAATTTGACTCAAATTTGTGGTTCCGTAAATGTTATTTTCTTAAAGTGCGTATGTCATGTCTAAAATTCTTGAAGAAATCTACGATTTCATGTTCAGTATTCAGACCGAAACATCTCCTATATCACCAATGTGCGCCAAACCCGTGCACATTTGGCCTTAAGTCACATATTGGACATGTTTCAGAAATCAACCTGAAATTGATGTCTAGGGTTGTTTTTGAGAAAAACGCTATTTCACAAAAGTTGTTCGGAACGAAATTTCCTTAGACTAATTTCACGGTCATGACAACATGAGACACAACAAAAGAAATAGTAACAATAATAAGGCCTTCTTGCATCACTACCCTTAAACTTGTCGCTTTTGACAAATCAGTCCTTAAACTAAAAATTTTAGAAATTAACTCCCCAAACTGATATTAAATTTTAATGGTTTGGGAAGTTATTTTAGCTCAAAAGACACTTGAGAAATATCTTTTCACAGTAAAAATTTCCCGATCCCCCGTGAAGCTAAAAACCAAATTATCTTAGAAAAAAAAGTAAGAAAAAAGAACCAAATAATAAAATCGCAGCTATGAGCATTTGGATTTTTGCATCTACAAAGTAAACAACTGTCTAATCGTTTCTTTTTTATTTTATTAAAATCGTGAGAAATGCTAACATCATCCTTTTTTTAAGAACTAATCTAATGTGGTTGACGGTTTCACAAGAGGGAGAGCAATGGTTTAGAATGAGACATATTGAAGCTTCCATGTGCTTATATGTTTTGTTTTCTTAGGTTTTGTTGCTCTCAGTGGTAAAGACTAAAGAATTAGGTCGTCTAATTCTTACAACGTTGAATAGACCTTATTAAACTATACCCTTTGGAGACCAGTCTCATTACGACGTGTGTTTTTTTGGCCGGCCACATTATCTTTGGCACATTCTATGGCTTATCATTTTTTACCATAGAGTACTTGTTTTTAGGGTAATTTAGCAGAGTAGTAGGGACCATTGTTGAAGCTAAGGAAAATAATTGACAATATCGTACAAGTTTTTGTTTTCAGTGTTTTGCAGCGAGCAATTTCAATTGTCAAAACTTGGAAATTAATGCGGATTGGCAATTAAAGAGAATACTCCTGAGAGAAAAAAAAAAAAGGAATTATAAAACGTAATTC